CAGCTGGTTTGAGGGCGCCTTGAAGGCCTACAGATTGCCAGTAAAATTAAAGCAATCCTGCACCTTTAAAACTATGGAATCTTCCAGACATGGGCCTTGGGAGGCTTTCTTCCTGACTGACCAAGGGAACAAGAGGGAGGGCAGGGCAAGAACCTTCCCATCTCATCAAGGCCTCCCCACTTCCTCCCTCCGCCACCCACTCTCACAGACACACCTAGGCTCACGTGGCGAAAATTCTCTAAAAATTATTTTTTGATGTAGATAAGAAATTATTTTCCATCAATTTAAAACGAATGGCATAAACACTGTTATGTAAAAGCATCCAAATGAATCTACCTGTGGGGGCAGAGACTGACGTGCGTACAGAACATATCACACACTCTGCTGGTGGTATCGCTAGGAGGGTTCCAAAGGGTCCCACGAGGCAACCACAGCATAAATGTCAAAAACATGCTTTGTTCACACGTGTTTAAAGTGTCTGGAAAAGAAACTAGCCATGTGCAAAATAAAACCACCAGATGGTGATCAGCTAGTTGAAGGCGACTCTCTCTGGCCCTCTTGCAAAATAACTTGGATGTAGATGGGTATTGAGTTAGAGTGAGTAACACATTTAAAAATACCTATGAAATTGGGATGGGATCATCAGTGGATTCTCTGAAGATTCTGTTGTTGATGTTAGGTGCCATGGAGTCGGTTCTGACTCACAGCGACCCTGAGCACAACGGAACGAAATGCTGCCTGGTCCTGAGCCATCCTCACAATCCTTGTTATGCTTGAGCCCACTGTTGCAGCCACTGTGTCAATTCATCTCACTGAGGGTCTTCCTCAGATTCTAGAGATACTTTAATGGGTATGTGAGTGTGTGTGTGTGTGTGTGTGTGGAGCTGGGAGGTCTCTGTCTCCTGGGCTGTGAATTTTCATCGTTAGCTGCCATCAAATCGGGCCCCGACTCATGGTGACCCCATGCCCAATGGACCCAAACACTGCCCTATCCTGCCCCATCCTCATGCTCAGTTGTGGATCAGACCTTGGTGATCCATAGGGTTTTCACTGGCTGATTTTAGGAAGTAGATTGCCAGGCCTTTCTTCCTAGTCCGTCTTAGTCTGGAAGCTCCACTGACACCTGTTCAGTATCGAAGCAACACGCAAGCCTCCGCTGAGGGACCCGTTGTGGCTGCAGCTAAGGTGCATTAGCCAGGACTTGAACCTGGCTCTCCCACACGGAAGGTGAGAATTCTATCACTGAACCACCACCGTCCCCACGGGGCATTGCGAATTAGAACAAGCTAGAAAGGTGGGAAGGGTTCTCTCTGCAGCTGAGAAAGCAACTCAAGCAGGTCCTTCTGTGCCAGGGCCTGGATCATAGTAACACGAGCCACCTTGATGCCAATGCCTTATCTTTGATCTCTGTTAACAGCTAACCAAAGTCTTTGCCTTCCAGAGCTGCTGGAAGGCAGAAGCAGGAGACCCTGGAAAGCAAGCTGTGAGGAGGTGCAAACGGCTTACGGCTTACGTGCAAAGGCCGAAGGAGAGCTCAGCAGTCCCAGAGACAGGCAGGCTGCTGAGAGAATCTCCCTCCCTTTCCTTAGGGGTTTAGATTTCTTATAAATCTTGCTCTAAATTATATCCTGACGTAAATGGGGCTTAAATGGGTGAGTCAGTCATGCATGGTATTTTAATAAGGAGCTCTATTTCAACGGAGTCCCTGGGTCATGCAGTTAACAAGCTCAGCTGCTAACCGAAACATCAGAGGTGTCAGTCCACCCCAAGGCACCTCAGAAGAAAGTCCTGGCAATCTACTTTCAAGAAATCAGCCATTGAAAACCTTGGGGAGCACAGTTCTACCCTGACACATATGGGGTCACCATGAGTCAGGACTGGCTTGATGGCAACTGGTAACTGGTCTATTTCGATCTGTAAAATACTTAGCCAGATCATGTGCTAAAGACTCTCAGGCCCAGCCAGGTCTGGGAAACACCTTGCTTATGATGAGGAAGGGAGGTGATATCAGTGCTCTGAGGAGAAAACCAATGAAGGGATTCTCCACATTCTACTGAGCAAACCCTTTAAACTAACGGGATGGAAATGTGTAGCAGTGGCAACCAAAACATGCATTATTTATGTTTTCTTCACCCAGGAATTGAAGCATACACGGGACACTCCAAGAGCAGGTCTTTGGAGGTTTGCAGGGTCCCTGTGTGGTGTGAACAGTTAACTAACATGCTTGGCTGCTCACCAAAAGGTTAGTGGTTCAAGCCCACCCAAAGGCACCCTGGAAGAAAGCCCTAGCGGTCTAAGTCCGACACATCAACCACTGAAAACCCTATGGAACAGAGTTCTACTGGGACACACATGTGGTCACCATGAGTTGGAGTCCCCTTGACAGCAACTTTTTTTTTTTTTTTTTAATGGAGCTTTTCAGCCTTAAAACCAAAAAACCCAGACCAGTTGCCGTCAAGTGGATTCCAACTCATAGCGACCCTGTAGGACAGAGCATATCTGTCCCATAGGGTTTCCAAGGAGTGCCTGGTGGATTTGAACTGCCAACCTTTTGGTTAGCAGCCCTAGTTCTTAACCACTACGCCACCAGGGTTTCCTTCAGCCTTAAAGGAAGCCTTAAAAAAAAAAAAGTGGTACCCGTTAGCTTTTCCAGATCAGCTTACTGACAGACTCATAACTAACAGGATCGTTATCACACATATCCAACGGCCAGGGCGTCAGTCTCCTGCAGTCAATAGAGCAGGTAAATAAAAACAAGCAAATACCATTAGTGCCTGCCCTATGCAAATAGGGGAAAATATGCCGAGGAAAAATAGCCTGGAGTCAGGGTGAGTCTTTGCTGGGGAGGCCAGGCCGTCATTCCTCATCCTGCACGGAGCTCTGGACTTTCAGGCCCGTTCCTTAATCTCCCTGCCCAACGAGAGGCTGACAGAGCAAATTTTATACAGCAAGAGAGGGTAAGCCTCTCGCTCTTGCACGGTTTAGTACTATCTTGGGTGACATGCACCGACTAGCTACATTGGCAGAGTGGGGCCCCTTCCTGCAATCCTGAAACGAAGGGGCCAAGCCCTCTTCCCCCCACACCCCGCTCACCCTGAGACCAGTTCTCAGCCCCTCAGGCCTCTAGCTCCCCTCCTGCGACAGGGTTACTCCAGACAGATCTTCTGGTTACTGAGTCAGGTGTGAGGATCTGTGTCACCATTTTATAAAGTTCTTCGAGACTCTTCAAAGAAAGATACCAGGAAGAGAACACCCTGGTTTCTTAGTGCATCCAGGGCACGGCTTCGGCATATGATAACTGGACATTCTCAGCAACTCGGACATGTAAAGCGGCGAGTACGTCTCTGCGTCTCTCGTTGTCAGCGGCCGTGGAGTCGGCGGCGATTCGTGGCAACCCCGTGCACAATGGAATAAAACGCTGCCCAGTCCTGCGCCATCCCTGTGACCAGTTACGGATCAGGCCATCATGGTCCACAGGATTTGCATGGGCTGATTTTTGGAAATAGATTGCCAGGCCTTTCTTCCTAGTCTGACAGTCTGGAAGCTCCACTGAAACCTGTTCAGCCTCCTAGCAACACGTAAGCCTCCACTGACAGATAAGCAGTGGCTGCGCATGAGGTGTACTGGCCGGGAATCAAACCCAGGTCTCCAGCACAGAAGGTGAGACTTCTAGCACTGAGCCACCACCGCCCCCTCCACTTCTCTACTTCCCCCCAGAGAAGCACTGCAGACGGAATCAATGTTTTCATTTCAAGGACTCTTCTCTTCAAGGACTCTACTTCTAAACCCTAATTGAAGTAAAGTCTGAGGAGACAGGGAAGCCAGCTGTGTAGCTGGAAGTACCTGACATCATGAGGAGTCCTTTCTGGCTTAATTAGTGTTGCCTGGAGCCTTAATAACTACGGGAACAGGAAGACTTATGGTTGTGCGATTTATTATCTTCTAATGGTGGCTCAGGGGTAGAATTCTTGCCTTCCATACAGGAGACCCGGGTTCGATTCCTGAACAATACGCCTCACGCGCAGTCACCACCCGTCTGTCAGGGGAGGCTTATGTGTTGCTGTGATGCTGAATGGGTTTCAGCAGAGCTTCCAGCCCCAGACAGATTAGGAAGAAAGGCTTGGTGATCTACTTCTGAAAATCAGCCAATGAAAACCCAGTGGATTGTAACAGTCCAACCCCGTTGTGAATGGGGTCAATTGTCATGAGTCAGGGGCCGACTCGATGGCAGCCACCAACCAATCAAAACGAGTTCTTAATTAGCGCTATTGTGGAAAACATGAAGGGGCTTTGCCAAACACAAGCAGGCCTAGCCTTGTCGGTGTCTTCCCTTAATCTGAAATTCAGGCCACCACAGCACCCGCCCTGGCGGTGGACTCCACCACCATCTCAGAGAGGAATCGCAGAATAGCGTCTATACCTGCCTCTAAACGCCCATGATCCATCTCAGAGTTCCCCAGACACCTGGAGATTCATGATGTCCGTGAGCATATTTAAGGTTCCAAGGAGTGTGACCAGCTTAATTCAGTTTAACTCGAAATTTCCTTATCATATGTGTATATCTTGATGTCACCCTAATTAACAAACCGCAAAACAGTCAAGAGTGGCAAGTGGTTTGGGAAATGCCGATCTAAACTCATCATAGCTGCTGGAGAGCAAATTCTGTTTCATATGCTACAATGAATACATTAAATTGCTCAGCATTCACCCTAAGATTGTCCTTCAGAGGGAGGTGTCAATATGCCTTCCCAGAGCGTTAAGGATCACAAAAACAAAAACCAACCCGTTGCCGTCAAGTCAATTCCGACTCATAGCGACCCTATAAGACAGAGTAGAACTGCCATATAGAGTTCCTAAGGAGCAGCTGGTGGATTTGAACTGCTGACCTTTTGGTTAGCAGCTGAGCTCTTAACCACTGTGTCAGCAAGGCCCACAGGAGCTCTCTAAATTGCCAGAGCAACGAGACATACAGAGCTGGGAGGCCTGCTGTACTTCGGTACCTGTGGCTCCCGGTCATGGCTGCTGGGTTCCCGCTCATAGCTCTCTGCGTACAGCCGGATGGTGGCCCGCACACCACTGGAAGAACTGAGCCGGAAGATGAGCCGCGATGCGTCTGAGAAAATGATCCTCAGGCCCTGCAACCAAGAACATCCAGAAGGGATCAGTGAACACAGAAACACACGGCTAGCATTAATACCTACTGTGGAAATCTGTCCGTTGTCATCCTGTGGTGGCTGGTGTGTTGCTGTGATGCTGGAAGCTATGCTACTGGTATTTTAAATACTAGGAGGGTCACCCATGGTGGAGAGGTTTCAGCAGAGCTTCCAGACTAAGACAGACTAGGAAGAAAGGCCTGGAGATCTACTTCTGAAAATTAGCCAGTGAAAACCTGTGCATCACAACAGAGTGCTGGAGGATGAACTCCCTAAGTTGGAAGGCAGTACACAATCACCACAGTGGACTCAATGATCATGAAGACGGTGCAGGACCAGGCAATGTTTCCTTCTGCTGTGTGAGGGGTCACCATAACCGAAGCCAGCTCAGCGGCCACTAACAACATGGACATCAGCATGTACCTGTGAGCTAACAGCAGTCAGGGTCATTGCAATGTGTAAGTAGCTCTGAACACTCACCCAAATAGGACAGTGTGGGGCGACGAGAAGCTACTTAAGGTTATCCATTTGTCTCTTTATTCTATTCCCATCGCTTTGCTGTTCATGTTGGGCAAGGGTTAGGAGCAAGACTATGAACAGATGTTCAAGTTCCCTTGGTCTGTACTGTGGGGACCAGAAAGAGGTGGAGTGGTATTTAATAAATGTCCATGTGGCCGAAGCTCATCCCTATAAGGATGGACGGACCAATGGGGACAGGCAAGTTATCTATCACAGCGAGACAAATGACCCAAGGCAAGGAGACCCCCAAGTGAGGTTTGACTTTGCCTGAAGTTCATCTTCTCTTTGTTTCTTTTGTCATTCCCAGAGTCCTCTGGTAGGAATGCAATCTATGATCAAGTGTTCGGGGCTGGAGCCTCAGCTGGTTCGGAGGGTTCCTGAGTATCTGCATCCTCTCGGTCCTTCTTATCCCGAAGTCCTGGCCAGCAGGGTGGCACGGAGACTGAGCTGTGGCCACACCTCCCTGCTGCTCAGTCTTAAATCTCCTCTCTTCATTCGTTTCTGGCTCAGAACATCCCTACTCTTCTCATTAGTGGCAGGGATATTTTAAAAGCATGATCACAAGATAACACTGTGATCTTCTGATGAATGAAATGTGCTCGCCTAAGACAACTAATGAAGTAACTGCTTCTATATACACATACAGGGTCCAGGGGAAGGAAGGGAGGGGACAAATAGTACATCGAGTCATCTATTACTTCTGAAAAAAATAGACGTCTCAGGCAACTTGACATCAGACAGCTCCCTAAGCAATTTGCCCTTGAACTTTCTCTGGCGTCAGATCCTGCCACTGTAGACAGTATGTTGTCGAAAATATATTATACATGTTGTATAAATCAGACCACAAAGCCCTTACCCACCCCCGTCTGGTGATATCTGCCGGGGGTGCCACGATTCAATCCAAGTGGTTTTCTTCTCTTAAGTTTGTAGGTATATTTTGTTTCAATCTCGAAACAAAAAGCTTTAGTTTTTCTTAGAGCAGTTTGATGTCTGCCACCATTTACTTAACAGAAGGGAGACATCTCCCTTACAGGCAAGCATTTGCTACGACACTGGCTTTCCGACAGTATTTTTTATCACAGGGAAAACTGTGAGAGCCGGAATTCGACGGGACCGCCTTGTTTTTCTGTGGCTCGAAAGTTTTCCGCCTTTGACAGGGTGCAGTTTGCCACTTTTCTATCACTCTCTATCCACTGGAAAATATTTGCGTTTTCTTCACTGACAGGTTGCCGCCTTATACAGGTCCCAGCTTTCACAGGTTTTACTGCACTATCAATTTTACATAAAATATGTATTATATATATATATATGCTATATAAATAAACATATATTGCTATGTAAATATAATATATAATATAGTAAATACACATTGTTATATAAATGTTACATACCCACTGCCGTCGAGTCGATTCCAACTCATAGCGACCCTGTAGGACACAGTAGAACTGCCCCATAGGGTTTCCAAGGAGCGGCTGGTGGGATTGAACTGCCGACCTTTTGGTTAGCAGCCGAGCTCTTTACCACTGTGCTACCATGGCTTCTCATTGTAGGTAACCGCTATAGGATACAGAGGAGACAGAAATGAATGATGGCGGTAAGCATAACTGCTCCATCATTAGTCCTTATATC